GTGTCAAAACTAGCTTTTAAAGTGGCATTTAAAATTCAGTAAAGTACAGTCCAGCAGATATTGTGGCTTAGAGTCCAGATATGATAGATATTTGAATAAAAAAGTCTGAAAACAGTTAACTTCTCTATAAGAAGCATATTCTTTCAAAGAACAAAACAATCAGAATGCAAAAGAATGGGGAAGATAATTAGTATTTAATAAGACTTGTTCTACTTCAGTGAAAAGATTACAGAAGCAAAGTTAATAAACCTAAAAGTAGGTTAATCTTCTATTTCATCCCTCAAGCCTGCCACTTTTAATATCTTTATTGCATCCCAAATGCTCTAAGAAGTAGAAAAATCCACCAATGAGATATGTCATGAATATTTGTTCAACTACATTCTGCAAGTACTTGAGCATTCCTCTTGCGAACACCAAGAATGCAGTAGTGAAAAAACAAACAACTGAAATCAGTTCTTCAATTTATTAAATAAAAAAATACTAGAAACCTTTCTATTTTCACACAGTGAAGAGATGTTAGGAAAACCTTACAAGAAATGAATCACAAACTTTTCTAAATCAGGAGCCTTGTATTATTAACTGTGGATCCACTGTTAACAGTTGGCAGTCAATCCTCAGTCAAATGTCACTTCTTATGCTCCTCAGCCTTCTGAATTATTGGCATGTCAATTTCTGTAGATGCAAAGCCTCAAGGTTCTTTTTGCAAAGGAGCAAGAGTTCTTGTTCAGGGAGCAGGGTCAGGAGAAGGTGTTTAACAATGGAGAGAAGTTGGAAAGAACAGAAGAGGAGCCTAGCGGCAATGTGGTCTCAACTGGAAGCAGATCCTCAGCCTGATCTTGTGAGCAGTGCTATGGTGTGAATTTCACCAAAGTGAGTCTCAGCTGGAGGGAAGGAGGTGGGCTTATAGATTTCACCAGCATTCTTTGGCCATGGCTACTCTGGCCTAGGGTACATGAGTTTTGAAGACTGGAGGATCAACTCCCATGTATCTCCACATAAGAGAGTGCCCATTTCCTAAGGACAACTGGAGGATGGATACAAGATCTCAGAAAAGAAAATCTAGGCAAGGCAACAATAGTCTGCTCTCTGGTTGAAAGGTCTGAATTTTCCAGGGAAAAATCTGTTTTACAATAGGTTTTATATTAGTCTTTTTCCTGTCATGGTTGTAACAAAACACCCAATATACACAACTCAAAGGAAGACAGGTTTATGATATCAAAAGCACAGGTAACAAAATCAAAAATAGACTAACGGGACTTTGAAAAGTTAATAGATACAATCAATATACCTTCTGTTAAAGAAATGGACTGAGAATTTGCTAATGATGCCTAAGCCTGCTTCAGCTAACCATGTTTGCTTCATCATCTTGCCCATTGTCATACATTCTCCAGTCCCAACATCCTTGGAACACCATTATTCAGTAAGTAATAGAGTCCTCCCCCAAACAGTTGAGCTAAACTCAACCTTTGAGATCATCTCTCCAACAGCTTTCAAGTATTCGTATGTAAGAGCTGTCATTCACCAGAAATCTTGTGGGAATCCAATGAATGGAGACTCATGTTCTTGGAGGGGGAAGGAAGTGTATCATTCTCTCATAGACTTAGGGAGCTCACATACAACTACAAAAGACACCTCCCCCAACTATTAGCACATATCTTAGATCAGGTTCCCTAGAAGCAAAGCCTGATGTGGGGTGGGTTTGCTGATGATGCATCAATGGAGTGATCTCAGAAGAAAGTTGCAATAAACAGGGAAGGAGAGAGTGATCTCAGGAGAAACTTGCAAGAGGCAGGGAGAAAACAGGCAAAGATGTGGGTTCAGATTAGAAAACAAACAAAAAAAATCACACACACTCAAAAACTCAGAATATAGTTGAACTTTGTCATTGTGTAATTTTGTCCCTGAGAGGTCAAGACACAACTGCCCAGTGGTGGGCAATAGCTTGAAGGCAGCTGGGTTCATGCCTATTCTAGGGCTATTTGTTGGATGTCTGTTCTAGGCTAGGTTCTGTATTAGTCACTTTCCTGTCATAATTGGAAGATAATACTTGACACCAACAACTTAAAGGAAGAAAGGTTTATTCAGCTCAAAGTTTTCAGTGGTTCAATCCAAAGTCATCTGGCTCCAAGGTAGGAATGGCACTGTGGAAGAAGATGGAGGACAGCTATGGAACCTATGGCAGCCAGGAAGCAGAGTAAGAGAGGAGGAGAAGGACAATAAAACACCTTTTCAAGTCATATCCCCAGTGACTCACTCCCAACCAAGCCCCTCCTCCTAAGAGCATATTCACCTATGAACTCATCAGTGCATGAATCCCTTGATGAGTACAGTGCCCCTATAATCTAATCACTTTGCAAAAGCCCCACCTCTGTATACATGAGAGTTTTGGGGAACATTGTAGATGTAAACCTAATAATTTCCCAAGAGTCCAGTCCTGAAAAGATTATTTTATAAGTGTTGTATTAAGGAAGAGCCCCTAGAAAAAATCTTTCAGGAAGTAAAGGAAACAGGTAGTACAGAAGGAGAAAAGGAGCAAGGAAATCATCTCAGTTGGTAACTGGCTTGAGGCTGATCCCATGGAGAAGCACAACAGTCACCACAGTTATGCTCCAAAATTGAGGCAAGGAGCCATGATTCCATACCCCAGTATGATCATTGGCTTGGAGCCTGTGTTCTAAGTTCTCAGTCACTTCCTGGATGTTCTCAGGCACTTTCTGGGTAAGGCCTCAGCCAGGTCTCTACATAGAAGCAGCTAGGAGCCATGAGACTTCACCATACCATACGTAGCAAGCACATAGGCTAGGCAGAGGAAAATGAGGAGGTACCAGTGACTTTTGCTGCCTCGAGGGCTCCATGTGGTTTCTGCCCCTTTTACGGGAATCTCAACATGAAAGAACCCAAACCCACAGAAGTGTATAGAGAACTTAGAGTACTGCTTGAAAAGGCGCAATCATAGCTTCCACGCACAGTTCCCATTTGGTCTTCTGCCCCCATCCACCCACCCCCAAAGTGTGAAATTTACAAAGACTTTTCCTAAAATATTCTTCCATTTATGTTATTGCTAAAGAAACCAACTTCTGATTCCACAAGGAAGTTGCCAAAAATATAGACAAACCTCTATGTTCATTGAGTAGATTCACAGCTTTGGTTAAAACTGTTACTTTCTAGACTATGTGGTGAATCCTAACTGGGAGAGCTTTTCATTCAGAAACCCTTGCCCACTACAGGAGCATCTTTCTTCAGCCTGCTCTGACACTGGGGGTGACATTCTGGATGTGTTACTATGGTTACCCAACTCTGGATAGTCAGTGTAAAATTTAAATAGCCACACAATTACCTATTTTCTAACATTTTTGATCCACTTGAGTCTTTTTTTTCTTTTTGCTCTTATAACCACTGAAATTCAATTAAATTTTTATGAAGTTTTAAGCATTTTTTTTTTATTTTTAGAAGAAAGGAGGCACCAAAGGTACCAGATGAAGGCAGAAGGCAGAAAGCATCTTGGTGCAAAAATGTCAACTAGAAAGCTAGAACTAGAAGTGTCCTTAAGATTTCAAATCATATGCATTCAAATTATTTTCTGAGGAGCCCTTGCATTCCTGAGAGGTATCTCTGGGCTGTTTCCAAAGCTATGGGGAAAGAGAGAGTACTGAGCACACACATATGCTCAAAACCACAAGAATTACTGTAGCACTGTCAATAAAGTTTTGGATCCAGCTCTGCTGATGATCTGCATTGTGTATGGTGTCTCAGTTCTTAGGATCTTCCCCAAGTCAACTAGCAAGTTTAGCAAACAACTTTATTGTGTGCAAGCATTGTACACTCTCAAAGCAAATTATTAAGAATAGACACTCTCCAAAAAAAAAAAAGAATTAGACATTCTCCAAAAGAGTAGGCAGAGCCAGAAATGGCAGCTGACCCCTATCTGGATTAGTTTTCTTTTTACATTTTTAGAACCTGGTTAGTGGTCAAGGGTGGCACTTATTGGGGCTTTACCCAATCATCAGTGAGACTTTAACTCTCTATCAGGAGGAACAGCATCTGGTCTTAAACAGGCTTGGACATAGTAAGTATGGTTGCCATCCTCTGCAAAGAGGATCAAAACCACAACACAAATTTATAACAATGAGGCCAATTGGGTGAACTTGGAGCCTGTTTGAGTCATCCTGGGGTTTGTTTCTTAGAGCTGTGCATGCATTGAACTCAGATTTATGAAACTGTGCATATGGGATATCTGGAAAGTGCTGATAAATCCTTCTCAGAAAATTGTGAAACCACAACCTCAGGAAGCTTAGACTACTGTCTCTTTGAGTTTTCCTCTTGCAACCTACCTACCATTCTCTTACCTACAGATATCTAGGTATCTAACCAATAAGCTCTATTTTAAAGAATTAATTTTACATGCTGTTTTATATTCCATAAAATAATTTTAGTAACTAGTTAAAGAAACAAATATTTGAAATTCAGAATTACATCTAGAGTGAATGCTGTCATATCACAATCCTAAGCATTCACCATTTCCATGCACATCACTTAACATAGCTTTGTGAAAGAGTCTATAGTTGCAGAAGACTGTTCTGCTTACCACACAGGCTAGGTGAACATGCTAGGCAAATAAAACCTCCCAGGAGCAGCTCATATCCAAAGAGAGTAGCTGTTTAAACCCAGTTCCCTTAACTCTCAGATAGGACATCTCAGGATCCACAGGCTTCCCCCATAGGCTTAAGCCCCAGCTGCCCATGCAACGACTTTCTTGTAGCTTCATTACTTGCTTTGCCTCACTTATTCTCCTTCTTTCCCTACTCAGGTTTCCTGTGTTCATTTGCATGAATTAAGTGATTCCTGGATCATTTTCTGGGATATTTCCCCTGTGGGCCCCCATCACTCACCTTTCTGTTCCATGCTCTTTCTTCTGTAACTTCAACATCCCCATTGTATTAACCATCTTTTCACTACTGGGACAAAATAATTGACATATGCAACAAAGAGGAAAGGCTTACTTGGGTTTACAGTTTCAGATGTCTCAGTCCACAGTTGGCCAGCTCCAAGACAGAATCATCATACAGCAACCATAAAGCAGAGGGAGAGAGAGAAAAAGAAGCTGAGAAGGGATATATCATTTAAAGATATGTCCCCAAATACTTCCTCCAACTATCCAGAACCTCCTCACAGCCTATTCAGCTATGAACTCATCAGTGGGTTAATCCATAGAGATATTAGTGCTTTCAATATCCCATCACTTCCCTAAGCCTCTGTTAATCTTATCAAGTTGATGATTAAGGTTAACTGTGACACTCAACCACTGGACACCTTACAATTTACTTTGACCGTAAGATGTTTCAGAAGTGATGTTGTACAGTTCTGAGCCTAAACTTCCAGGATCATTATTCTGTTGTAACTCTCACTCTAAGAGAACAAGCTTAAGTTAACCTATCAAAGCGTGAGAGACCATACTGTGGAGAGCCAAGGTGCCCCATACCAAAAGCCAGTCAATACTCTCAAGTAGAGCTGCCTATTTGAACGGAAAACAATTACAGAATCATAAAAAATCCTGTCTGAGAAGTGATAAATCTATCTGCTTCCAGTTCAAATCTTTAAATTTTGTATCATGAGTTAATTTAACAGCCATCTTATGATAGTAATTTATGGGATAATTTGTTATGCAGCATTACCTAACTAGTACAAATTATTTATTCTGAAAGAAACTTGGAAAAACATAGTTTATGTGCAATAGGCTTATGCTGTCTTCAGAACCATATCAAAGTACATTACTTTGCATTCCAAGCTCAGCTTATCCTTCTAAGTTTTACAGTTTCATATTCACTTCATAAAACCTTTGTGGACAGGCTATGAAAGTAGTCAGTGAGGCTTTCTCCATTTTGCAAGAAAGACTCTGCTTTGCATTGTGAAGTAATAATAACATAATAACTGCAACATTCATTGAAACTGTATGATGAAGGAGGTACTATTAAGAATTTTACAATTATTATTTCATTTAATTTTTATTTCAATTGTATGAGAAAATTGCTACTAAACAACACTAAGTTTAAAAATGAGAAAGCTGAGCCATGAATAATTTCTGTCATTTGCCCAAGGTGGCTCCAGAATCCATGGGCTTCCCTAACCACTGTCCCCTACTGTTATTTCCAAGTCAAACTTTGCCTGTCATTGCAAGGCCTAGGCCATCTTATAGTCTCTCAATGTGTTCCAACCAGCATGCAAAAGACCTTTGCATCTAGTGAAGTGTTTAACCCACTTGACAGCCTATAATCATTATTTTCCCTCATTCACATTTTACAGAAGTAAAAACTGAGGGTCAGTGAGGTCAAGTTTCTGGCTTAGTGTCACATATGTTACTAACAGAAACTGGATTCGAGCAAAGGTCATCAGGCTGTGCCACCACACACAATTATCTCTCATATAACCTGCTGAAATCAGAAGTAGGCTTTTGTGGCATCCCCAAGAAGAGTTAATTCTTCCTTCCTTTGTCCTTTCACATTTTGTTATGCAGATCACCATCCAAGTATTTGTTTTTGTGTTAAAACATAAATTTCTAACTATCAGTTTTCTCATGACAGAATGTGCTTTGCAATCTAGGGACCATATTTGAAGTTATAAAAAGTGTACATTCCAGTTGGGGAAAAGACTTGGCCATTGGCTTTGTCCAATGGGAAAATTCCCATATTTAAGGGTAAAGCACTATAACAGATGCTGGTGTATTACACATGTGACCTTCTCTGGCTGTTTCAACCACATTCCAGCTATAGGGCTGCTCTCAGCTCCAAGCTGCCCTCTTCCACAGAGTACAGACTCATCCAATAAGTACTGTAAGTGTCTACTCTATAGAAATCCCTGGGGATTCCCATCAGCCTATGAATGGTGGGTATCAAGGTTCAAAAACCCACTTGTGGTTGAGGTTGGGACAGCTCTGCAATGATATTTCTACTCTAGAGCTAGATTTCTATTCAATCAGGCTAAATTTAGTTTCCAAATCTGAGCCCATGATTTTCTTTGGCATTTTTTCCTTTCCTTCCCAGGTTTTCTCACCATTTTATAGCATTCTACTGAGAATCCTCACTTAATAAATCCAAGTGTACCCCCAGTTTAAATACTGCTTCTAAGGAATCCAAACTAAGACAAGAGCTTCATAAAGACAAGATACAGGGTATGAGGGTTCAGCTTAGAGGTAGAGTACTTGGCTACCATGCATAACACACTGTGAATTAAATCTCTAGATTGCAAAAAAGAAGAAGAGAAGGAGAAGGAGAAGGAGAAAGAGAAGAAATAGGACACAGTTTCATTAGGGACAACAGTGGCTGTTTGGGAAAGTAAGATAAATGTACTTTTTCCTAATTGATTATATGCAAAAGAAATAAATATCTACAAGTCGAGCAAAACCAAGTGCCTCATTTCTAACATCTAAGCCTTAAAGAATGTTTCCATGAAAAATTCAGTATTTGCTCTTACATAAGTGAGGATAATATTAGCTGCTGTAACAAATAAATATCAAAATACAATTAGTCTATGAGAGTGCCAATTCATTTCTCTTTTATGCACCAGTTGTATTTCCAGGGTGGTAGGGCATTAGACTGCAAACAAACTCAGAGATGTAGTATTCTCACATATTCTCACCATGATGAACATAGGGTAGTGTACATTTTTGCATAGTGAAGCCATGACACAGAAGCTGACTTGGAGCAATATGAGAAAGAGCACGTAGGAAGAACATCGGCTTACCAAAGGTTTTGTTACTTCAGTTTACACTTTTGTTTGGTAAAAGACAAAGTCACCACACCCAGCTGTGAGAGTACTACAATGCAGGTGGTCAGCTGAGGAGTATTGTATAAGGAAAAAAAAAAGAGAATGAACTTTAGAAAGAGTAAGAAAGATTCCACCGTTCTAGAGCAGAGGAGGTGAGCTGCGCAGGTGCCAGCAGTACACCCCACCCCACTCCCGTGGAAATGGGAAGACATGTAAACAAGTCTCAAAAAAAGACTTCCAGATCACCTACAGCAACCCCAAGGGGAAATGAGATGGAACAATCTGATACTTAACCACCTGGACTCCCTGAACTGGCAATAAAAGAGGATCTGGAAAAAACGAAATCAGAAATAATTTCTCAGATAACAGCAAAGATTGTGCCCATAGTGCAAGACATGTTTAATAAATCTAGAGAGGACACAGATTAAAAAATAGAGGAGCGGAGGAACATGATGGAATCCCAACATAGGAAACAAATGGAATCCATAAAACAGAT